AAAGATATATTGCAGACAAAGTAATGCTGATCTACAAGTAAAAGTGTAGAAAAAGTATTCTTCAGAGGTAGATCTAGAAAGAGGGGAGAGAGAGAGAGAGTAATGTATAGAATGAATGAAAGCATATACATCTATATAATAAGACACAATAGATTTTGAAAATATATAAAATGTATGAGAGATACATTTGATATTAACGGTACAGATCTTCCAAACAAAAATAAACGACTGAGATGAAATTTTTTCTCCCCCGTCTCTCTGTCTCCCCTCTTTCATCTCTGCCCCCCTCTTTCATACATCCTCTTTCATACGCTCTTCTCTCTCTCTATCTCTTTTCTCTGCCTCTCCTCTCACGATGACACTGCCACTCACCGACTACAGACCACCTCTCCACGCCTCTTGCTGACCTTTCTTCTCTCGACCACTGACTCTCTTTTCTCACCCTCCTCCTTCGCTGACACCTTGTTCCGTCGCTGCCGACAATGAAGCTATTCTTCATAAGGTAAAAAGCCCCAATAATAGATTTGAAGAAAGTTAGAAGGTTGTTAACTGCTAAATTACAGAAAGTTAGAAAGTTAATAAATTTATTTTAACAAGTTGAATTTGTTAAATTACAGGCCCTGGCTTTCTGCAATTACAAGTTAAATTACAACAAGTTAAATTTGAATTTGTAGTTTAACTTTGTAATTTGAATTTGAATTTGTTAAAAGTTAAATTACAACAAGTTAGGAAGTTAATAAAGTTAGAAATTTAGAAAGTTAGAAGGTTGTTAACTGCTAAATTAACGAAGAAAGAAAGTTTGAAGAATGTTAGAAAGTTAGAAGAAAGTTAGAAAGTTAGAAAGTTAGAAGGTTGTCACAGGAAAGTTAGAAGAAACACCATATGTTGTTAACTGCTAAATTACAGAGAGAAGGTTGAGAAGCATTTGATTCCATGTGGGAAAAATATGAAACTTAGGAAATGGGTTATATTATTATTATTATATATGATCTTATATATGAAATGTTTTTGATATTATATAAGTCATAAATTATAACTCAGGTAGTCCTCCAAAATTATAAACTTTAAAAGTCATTTCATATGAAACACCATAGGAGGACTACCTGAATTATACTGAATTACCTAAATTATAAAATTATAGAAACACCATAGGAGTAATTTTAAACTATATGTTTGAAGTATATGTTTTTGATATTTTGATCTTTAGAGGACTACCTGAATTACCTGACTTTTAAACTATATGAAATGACTTTTAAAATTATATGGGTTATATTTTTGAGATTTCTGACATGGTTTTGATTTATGAAATGTTTGATTCTTTTATGGGAAATGGGTCCTAAATACTTTTGAGTTTCCTAAATATTGATTTTTTTTTTAGTGTTTTTCTATTCTTTCGTTCTTTTTTTTCTTTATTTGGGAGTGGGGATTGGTAAGCTGTGATAAAAAATAAATATAGTTTCAGCATTGCCTATTACTTTTTTAAGACTCTGTAAACAATTGTCCCCTTACTGTATGTTGTTCATTTGTTGTTTTATCCATTGAATTTTATTGCATCAGTTTAGTCTTATAGTTTATTTAGTTTAAATCAAAATTTTGTTTTTGTTGTGGCAGGGGGTTGGCTGTTGCCCATGAGCTAACCAAATGGATTCAAAAGGGGGTTGATTTGATATTTTGCTTATGGTCATATATTGCTTAACAAATATTCCAAATTTATTTAAGGTTGGAAGCAAAATGAATCTGAATGGGTGTAGGTGAAGATTGAAGAAGATGATGGAGTGTTACATACACAAAACTGATGGGACTAAACTGATATAATAAATGGGTTTAGAGTTCCAAGAAGAAAGAGTTGAAAAAAATAAAACCCAAGAAAAATATGGATTGATTTTTGTAAATTAATGTTTTTATGAGTCATTAATTTGTATCTGTGTTGACAATGTATTATGTTTGTTGGTAGTGTTTGCATTGGGTAACCTATTATTATTGTGCAACAATGTTTGCGTTTAGTTTGAATTGGATGGTCTATGAAAAACCTTTTATTAGTGTGACAATGCATGTATTTGTTTTGAATTGGGTAGTCTCTTTTAATTTTCATATCTTTTCTGTATTTTACAGGTGGATGAAGACTAGAAGCAAATTGTAATATCGGCTCCCTTTTTATAGGTCTACATTATTTTAAGTTTTTTTCTTATCTCTCTAAAGATTTTGTATTTATTGTTGTGAGAGTTAAAATATTGCTAGAGATGTCTAAACTAAACGTGCACTTTGTCCATACTTTGTCTAAAATATTGAAAGAGTGGCAATCTCGAGTGAGCAACAAATTGTGCATACTTTGTTCAATTTGTTTGAAAAGATATGATAATGTCTGGAAGTACATTTCTCTTTCATCTTTATCCTAAATAGCATTCTAAGTGGCACAGTTGTCTTAGTGGTTTAAATGAATTTTAATGTGTACTATTTGAATGTTGTTTTTATATATTTTTGAAGGGTGACACTTTTGCTAAGTAAATTTTAAATTTTCTACTTTATTCTTCATATTTTAACTAAAGGAATTTTTTTTCCAGAATCACATTTATTGGGGTTTAAAATAAATTTTGATTAATTTTTAAGTATGATCCAATATATTTCATATTTTCAAATCACTATAAAAGGAGCTTTTTACATTTTATTTCAATAGTTAATAATTTTAAGAATAATTGATTTTAAATGTCTACAAATTATTTTTTTATCAATACCTGAACTAACTGAATAAAAAATGTTCACAGTTATTAAATGAAAGGATTATAAAATAAAAATTGTGCCATAAATTATAAAGAAAAAAAATTCATATAAGATTTTTTCTTTGAGTTTGGATCACTTGAGTATTTGTTATTTTTTTGTGAGCTTTTGTTTTTGTTTTTTTTTGTTTTTATAGAAAAATGAAGCTATTCAGAATATTGTAAAAATGTATAACGGTATCTAACATGTCATTATGGCCGTTAAGGTACCGCTACGGCCGTAACATAACATTGAAACGGCCGTTACATATGAGAATTTCCGTCACACCGCTATGACGGCCGTAACAGGTTGCGGTAATTACCACAACCGTTACGTAACGCCGTTACGTAACAAGTTGTGCCATGGGTGTTAAAACATGTCCACATATATTTCGGGCACTAAAATAAATCTTGGGTATTAATTTCAAGAGATGAATAAAATAAAATAAAATAAGACTATACTGAAAATTCATATAAGCATACATTTCTTACAATAAATCACTTTGCTTGGTTGAAGTTTTCTAAAAATACTTTTCAGAAAATTCTACTTTCTTCTTTTTCGTATTTTTTTGTTTTTACTGAGTTTTTTAAATATTTTAAGCAATTTTTTCAATTTTTAGACACACCTAACATAAATTCACTTAAAAAGTATAATTTTTGTGAAAAAAATCTTTAAAAAATTCACTAAATACCAAAAATAGAAAAATTTAGTATATTTTTCTTATTTTTGTGTATTTATTAATTTTTAAAAATATTTTTACACAAATGTTTTACTTTTTAGACACATCTAAGTAAGATGCATTTAAAAAAGTAAAAAAATACTTAAAATTTTAAAAAGTATTCACTAAAAACAAAAAAATACGAAAAACAAAAAATTCAATTTTCAAAAAACTTAATTCAAAAAACTCAAACCAAACACACAAAATAGGGATTGGCTTCCCTCTAGCCCGTGATCGGATTGGAGGGTACTATTGGGTTCGTGGGGGACCCACTACGGGTCCTATTTCGATAATTCGAACCGTTCAATGTGTAGAACTCGTCGAGTACTATATGCCTATAAAAAATAATGTTGATCGAATATCAATATCGGATCAGATTTCTATCAACCATTTTTTTTCACCGTCTATTTTTTTTATATACAAAACTGATTTGATCATGTAGCTATCGATATCCAATCAACGTGATTTTTTTATAGGCATAGAGTACTCGATGAGTTCTACACATTAAACGGTTGAGATTATCAAAACGAGACCCGTGATAAACTCTCACAAGCCCAACAGCACCCTCTAGTCCGATCGCGAACTGGAGGGAAGCCAAATCCCACTGAATAATGTTGTAAAAAGAGAATGTGAATTTTTTTTCAAAAATTAGTACCTTGACCCCTTTAGTATACGCGTCAGTAGGAACACCAAATGTCTTGGCTGATCTAAAGCCAGCTATCTTCACTGTGCTTTGACTACGATGATCTAACATCAAACTCCCAGGATTCAAACCTCGGTGGAGAATATTATGCGAATCACAATAATCGAGACCACTTAGAATCTCATGCAGAAAATCCTGCCAAGAAAAAAATAAAAAATAAAAAAAAGAAGAAGAAAATGAATCATTACATAGAAACACTAGCATAGAATTCTAACATAGGAACGCTAAGATGACATTAATTAGGTAATGTAGATTTTTCTTGAAAAATTAGATCATCTTGCATTGTTGCATGGAATTAAACAATTCCATTGTGTTTGTCATTTCATTAATTGTATTGTTTCCAGTTTTCGTCATTTCTAACTTTGCATTATAACAAAATTTAAGCAGTTACCTAAATTCATAGATTCTTCCAACTTCATGTTCTAAATTTATCCATAAACAATATGGATGATCATATATTAGATTTTTTGTAAAGCAACAACTAAACTTGTAAGCCATTGAAAAAGTCATAAATGGATAGTAATCATCACATGCTTTTGTTACTCTCGGCGTCTTGACAATCTCTGGAGAAGTATCCATAAACTTCCTCAGGTCAAGTTCCACATGCTCCGTAACAAGATGCACTGATCTCTCCTTGTTCACTACATCTAGCAACCTGTGACCAGAATTCCATCAATTAATATGTTTCGTCAAAATCCAAGATATTAAAAATAAAGCTAAAGGGTAATAAAAAAAAAAATAGCAGATGGTTCAAATTTTAGAAGCCCGCTTTGTATTATGTAAAGGAGACTGTTATTTTTCAAACATACATCATATAATTTTTTATTTGCCTCTCCAAGGTCAACTGGACTATTTAGGGAGTACATACCTGAGGATGTTCCTATGCTGCATCTCTCTCATAAAGGAGATTTCTCTAATTACTGAGCTTGGGACACCTTGTTCTCTATTGAGAAAACATTCCCGCCTCAAACAAACAATGTAACGCCCTCAAAATAATACATAAAACCCATCATTTTAGACATGCAATGATATAAGAGAAATCGATACATTTCCATTCATCAGAGTAGTTCTTACAATAGTATTACATGTTAACAACAAAAGCAAATGCCCTACGGGCTTACAGCTTTCCAAGTCAACACTTGGTTACAAAAAGAAGAGTACTAACTCTATATAAAGAAATCCCTTGGCTTGATATACATGTAATACAACAACAGTAATCACAAAAAGACGCTCCAGCCACTAAGCCTCCCAAGCTACGTCCTTGGAGGTGGCAAGCTACCTGTACCTGAAAATGATGTCCCATATGGGGTGAGCCAACGCCCAGTAGAGATATGCTACACACGATATGAGCAATAACTAAGACATTAGCAGTTGATAAATATTGACTCACATAAATCAATTCATACACCACTTTCATTACATGACCACAGTGTCCATGTTTCAGTTAATTTTCCATTTCTTATCCAATTTCCAATTCATTACCGTGGCTCAGAACCTGGCCGCACACTCTAAACGAAATAATAATTTATATTAAACGTTTCTCATTTCACAATAGATAAGCACACAAGCTGTATCAACACCTCTACAGATAAGCATATAAGTTACATCATCATTTCAACAGATAAACATATGAGCTGTATCCACACTTCAACAGATAAGCATATGAGCTATATCAACACTTCCATAGATAAGCATATGAGCTATATCAACACATCAACTGACAAGCATATGAGCTGTGTCAATAGAGTCCATCCCCTATCTCCTCCCAACAACATCCGATTTAGAGGTCCATCCCCTATCTTCCCCTAAACCGTGGAGTACATCCCCTATCTTCTCTCACACAACACTACATGTATATATATACACAAAGGTCATATACATATTCAATAAATACATAAA